AGCCGAGTGTACACAGTGTTACCTGTAAACCAATTAGCTAGTGTTGACGTTGCTGCAGTTTGCAGTGTCACCCTGAGTGAACTCCACCCACGCCGTCACATAGCAGTCTAGTGGGAGAACGGCTTAATTGCTGTCTCTCTCCTTTTCCTTCTCTTGACTGGATCTCAGTGGACTGAGGAATAAATATGCTTATCCCTCTTCTTCCTATATAGCCCTTGTGACTCCCAGTTGGGTGCCTGTGTCAGATCTGTAATTAACAATAGACGGTTACATAATAATTAATTTATAACAACTTGGGTCTCATTTTTAATGACATTGTACTCACCAAATTAATTTATATGAGATCTGTGAATGCTATCAGTAGAGAAAAGTTTGGGACAAAATAAAAAAACACGAGGAGTCATAAAGATTTTAAACAAACCTTCAAAATTAAAGCAAAAAATCTGTTTCCCCCACTTTTTTTGTATTCTACTTATCTTCTATTCTACTGCACGGCTTCTTTAAACCATGGTACGGTTGGTACGCAAGCTGCCTCTAGTGATACGCGGAGGAATCCCTGAAATATCTTTTTAAAATTAAGTTAGTTTCGGGCTAAAATGTGATGGCAAGATTAAAATTAATGGAAACATAAATCAAAAACACTCCAACTGTGGCTCTAAACAGGAACTATCTGGAAGAGAAATGTGGACCAGGAGTAACCCGTTTTCACCAAATTAGCTCTGGTTCTTGAACTGGTTCGATTTAACAACAATCAACAATAAATTATCTTCTTATTAGGAATAAACCTGCCTCCTGCGTGAACTGTCCGTAGCAGAATAGGGTCGGCCTCCGCTGTTGTATATTAACATCAGTCATAATGGTGGTACTATTCAATTCAGTTCAGTTTTATTTGTATAGCGGCAATTCATAACAAAACTTATGACACACAAATAGAGCAGGTGTAGACCGTACCCCTTACCTACCGTACTAGGAGAGCCTAATATTTTCTGAGGTGCTATGCAATGTAAAAAATGTAAAGCAGTTCTGCTGTACACTAGAAAACATGTTTGCCTGTTACCATTTATCTAATATCATTAGCTTAAAATGGAGAGTACTCGGTTTAGAGTTAGTTTCTCTGAGTTCTGAGTGAACTGAGCCTGCAGTCTGATCCGGTGAAGCATAAAATACTGCCTGAGGGGCTAAGTGGTTGCATCTAAGATATTTATTCTGTAATGGTGTATCTTCCGGCCCCAGAACACCTGCCAAAGATACAAGACACAGTGGTATAGTGGTACTTATTATGGCTAGTGTCAGAGCTGCATTGTCAGACGGTGACAGATTGAACGTGGGGGACGGACAGAGACGCAGTGTGGAGTTCAGGACCCGAAAGGGAAGACCACTGTTGTCATTTTTGATCTGCTGCTCATCATAGGCTTCTAATTATTGTCAGAGGTTGAATCAGTGACCCATCAAGTTTTATCTTCTCATCTCTTTCTCTCTTATCCTTTGCATCCTCCGCCCAGTGTCCGCCTTGCTGCGCGTCATCATCTGTCATATCCGCGGCCTGTTCGGTTGGTGATTCATATGATCAGCCTCACCAGCAGCACACTCTGATTGCCTCCCACTCTCTTTTAGGCACTTTTATTTCTTTTTATCCTTCTGTCTTCCCCTTTCCTCTGTCTTTGTCTTATATTTCCATCGCTGCCAGTCTCTTTTCCTCAAAGCCTTTGTCACCGCCATTCCATCTCAGCGGACATTTCCTCCTTCGTGTCAAACTGTGCTCATTTGCTAAGGATAGCTGGGGACAGTTTGTATAAATGTGCCTGTTTGACCTTTCTGCTGTGTCCTATTTATGCAACGCAGACGGCAGAATGTGAAGTGTCTGTCTTGGAGACAGACAGCTAATCAACCTGCACCTCCATCCGCATGTTGGGCTCGGCATTTCTAATCTCTCCTAACTTTTGTTTTTTCTTACACGGCGACACATTTCCTGTGCCATGCCTTGCCTGCTTTTGTTTTCTCACAAGCTGCCACATGGAGGCGAGCATCCAAGGTCAGATCGCAGTGCCCCCGCACACAAATAGCCTAGCTTTTTTTTATTTTTTTATTTTTTGTGCAGTGCTGGCGTGTCAGCAAAAGTGGGCAGGGATGGATGGCTTTGCCTTGAGGGTAAGAGAGTGGGTGATAGAGAGGGGGAAGAGAGGTACAGACATACAGGGGTACTCCCTTATGGGACTCATTTGATTGGTTTTTCACTGTGTTACCCCTTTTCCTTCCCCCCTTCCTGTGCTCACTATACCTCTGTCTATCAGGTGCCATCTGTTTCAAGGCTCAGATGAGGATGTTTGTTGTTGCTGAAACACCTGCTTTACAAACTTAATGAATCTAGTGGCTTGTATAAGGAACAATAAAGCCAGTGTCGAGAGGGAATTCTGACTTATTTATTTTATTATTCATTTATTTAGTAACGGAGCCTATTTGGCACACATCACATTGCTTTATTTAGCATGAGACTGTACTTTTAATGGTTCTGGTTCTTAACATTTTGGACCAAAGCACTGATTGGTTTAAAATTCCGTTTCCGATACTGTATCATGCAGCAGGTCCATTGGTCCTTCAGGCGTGGGTGTCCTGCTAACTACATCGTATAATGGTGGAGCTGACTGGGAGTGTCAAGTCTCCTTGATGGAGCCAAGGCCAGCTGTGAAGAAACCTTTAACCAATTCATAGCTCTTCTTGTATCCTGAAGAGATGAACAAGAGTCTAGAGCCATGCTAGCACTTCTTTGAGCATGTGCTTATGCACAGTGTTACTTTTGGCTAAATAGTAATAATAGCATGGCAGCATGCTTATAATTTCAATGATAACTAATGTTTTGCCACATATATTGTACCATGTTCACCGTTTTGTTCACATTTGTTAAAGCACTCAAAGCTGGGGTTGACAGGACTGTTGTTAATTTTCCAGCTTGATCTGATGAGGGTGTTAGATAAAAAGTTAGGGGATCACCAAAGTTATTACAATTTTATCCTGAGGGGTACACATCTGTACCACATTTCAAAGCAATTCAGCCTGTTAAGACATTTTTTTCAAATCACTCAATAGGATTATTCCTCTGGGGACCATGAACATCATCACCAAAATAAGTAAGAATCATTCCTGGGGAAGAATAATTGTCAGTACCAAATTTCATGGCAATCGATTCCAGTCGTTCTGGGCCAATCGACTGACAGGCTTTGTCACTAGAATGCCAGACTAAAAAGTACACAGTTTGAATAGGATACACATAAAAAGGAAAACATACCAGTAGGAACAGTGTCAAATTTCTTGGAGGAGCAATGGATTTTCCATAGGCTTAGTCATGGTGAGACACATTTAATTCTACTGTAAGCTGTACTGCTTACTCTGCAGTCAAAACAGATGCTTCTGTTTCTTTTTCTCCTGTCCTTTTATGTGGTGGATGGGGGAAGGGGCATTCCTGTCAGAACATACAGTAGACATGAAAGTATAAATGCCTAAATTAAAGTCTCAGAGATGAGAAGCATTTAATGCAATCGGCAAACAAGCGCATGAGCAAAAGAAGTCGGCAGCCAATCACTTACCTCTCTCCCACTATCTCCCTTTCTCTGATGTTCATCATTTTCGTTTCTTTCATCTTTTTTTCCCGCTCATACATCTTTTGATCCCCCACCCCCCGCACTTCCTGGCCCACGTCTACTTACGCTGCAGCCATTTTTTTCCCCCCTGCAAATTCTCACTCACTCATTCACTCTATCTCTGTCTCTCTTTCTCGTTGTGGTTGTCTGGGCATCCTCTGCTCTTTAATAACAGTCAGTGTAATGGTTCAAATGTCAAGGAAAAAAGCCCGGCTGCCTTTCTCTCTGTCCGTTTCACCATCCAGGGCTTTGATCAGTTTGTTACTGGAGCTAGTGATCGTGCCTCTACTCTCCAGCACTATCCACAGCAAGTACATTAGCAATAGTCTCTGCTAATTGCTAACTCCTTTAGACTCCTCTTTGCCTTAGTAGAAGAGCTGTGGGTGGTAGCTCCTTGTCAATCTTCTGTCCCAGTAGGTAGCCACTGAGCCTAAACAGAGTCTCACTGTTCAATAATTCTGCTTTGTAAAACAAGGCTTTGGTGCTTGACTTTTACTGTCTTCACTATAGTTTCCTTGTCTGCAGTGTAAGTTTTGTTTATTATAGAGACTGACTGATACCTATATGACCTGGGTTTTTTGGCGTAAAAACACAACACGATAAAGTTGTTTTGACTCATGTATTAGCAAACAGTTGCCTATATCCAGACATGTAGCAACATTAGCATTAAGTTGGAGTTGTCCTTTATGGCCAACTGACAATATTCACTCTCCTGAAAGCTCTGTTTATGGTCACTACCAACTCCTCAGGGAAATATTTGGCTTTTTAACCTCTAAATGCTCCACCGTGTTCACCAGCTAGCCCCTAACTTTGTCTCTTTGTTGTTTGTTGCTGGGCAGTTTGCATAATGTTCGTCTGTCAAAGCTTTTTTTACTATAGAAACACTTCTTGCTGCAACTTAATGAGACAAGCGAAAAATGTATTTAAAAAAAACATTAGTTGCTGTTAAATCACTAAAGAACGTAATATAAAAGTATTGTGTGGAAGATGAGAGAATAAAACGAATGAGAGAATTATGAGTGTGATATTTAACGATTGAGAGATAAACTTGACAGTGTTCCTTTGTGGGCTATGTAATGGCGACACAGTTTCCCTTAAACATCTTTGGTATTTCTGTAGTGCAATTTCTTGGCTCTTTTCAGCTGAAATAAACACCCGTAACAACCATGCTGTGCTATACTTCTGTGAAATTGGCCAATAGTTTTGCCAGTGCTGATATATGTCGAACAAGTTCTGGTTTTTCACCATAGCCCGGGTAAAAGAGCAAGAAACAAAGCACAGCATGAAAAGAACTGTTGTGAAGAAAAATAAGAAAAACACTGCACCTGTTTTCTCAATGTGGATATTATGCTTTCTTTTCTGCAGGTATACTTATACCCTGTGCCCATTCAATCAAGTCACTCAAAAGAGCACTGCAGGAACAGAGGTCTCATTAGGGTAAGTACCTTTTGTCTCCATAGTTAAAATCTTAAACAATGACATGCCATGGTATGTCAGGGACAGTTTAAATATTCTAAATGCAGTACCTAGAACTAGATATACATTTTTTTTTTTGCAATTTGAGGGACACTTTTTCCACACTTTACAGTCTTGTGAGTACATTGTGTGCTGCGACATTTAGAGTCTATGGCTGTACACATTCGCACCTCTAATAAGAAGCCACAAAAAAGGTCTTTCATCACACAATAAAGCCAGAAAACCTCATTTGTTCTTATTTATACCAATTAGATAAATTCAAATGACAGAATTTCTCATTTCATGAGTGGACCTGCAACAAATCCTACCACTGCACTCCTATGAAAGCTCTTTAATCATTGTTACAGTGCTCGTACAAAGACCAATATTTGCGCTATTGATTAAAAAAAAAAAAAATCTTATTCAATCTCTGTTAGGCTTCATACGACCTTTAATCAATCCCTAACAGATCTCTATTATAGTTTTAATACCTTTTGATCGATGACAAACAGGGTGAGTTTCATATACTGCTGGAACTGTATTTCCATCTGACTCGAAGGGTTTCAATTTCATCTAAAGGATTATGCTGTGGCCTTATACCATCCCCTTGGGATTGACTGTGTCGACTGCTGGACATTGGTGTGTATCAAAATGCCTATGTGCTATGAAAGATGCCACTCAGTCCCCATAGAAACAGACCTTTAGATGTCACAAGATGTGTTCATTTTTTTTTTCATTCTTTGTTCCCCAGGAGTGTCAGTTTACTGATTGGAAGTGAAATTGCTTTAAAGGATCAGCAAAAACACTCCCTATAGTATAACTATAACTTTCTTGGTCAAGTATGTCATTTTGATACTTTCTACTCTAAAGATGGGGAAAAAAACACATCATGTTTTCTTAATTTCTTACTTTTTCTCTTTGAATTTTTAAGAAAAAAAACATATATCATATGTTTTCCTTACTTTTTCCTCTTCTTTGAATTTGAGGTTTTGAGGTGATAATTACGGGATGTCGTCTCACTGTCCTTTTTCACTCTCTCATTAGCCTTAACCGTCAGTGATTCGACACTTTTATAGGGTGCAATTATGGAAACGCTACTCCATTGACATTGACACCTCTCTGCAAAAAAAGCTTTTATGATTCGCTGCAACTCCTCCCCAAAGAGGAGGACTCAATTGCAGTGCTGTTTTGGTTGGAGCGGGCACATAGGCTAATGACTTGTTTTGCGAACAGACAATATAAAGGCATCAATGACCACGGGAAATTTGCGACAACGTGTCAAAACATTTTGTCTCCTTTCAGATGTAATGCCATTAGGCTTGACTTGTCTTCTTTTTGGCAGTTGAAGTGAGACGTTAAAGATAATTTATTAGCAATTATCCCTTTTCTGCACATGTAGTTTTGCTTTCAGATGGCAAATTAATTGGAATCTGAAGCAGGGCTGTGTTCTTTTTGCACCGCCACCTCCCACACTACCCACTCACTTTTGGAGCGGAAAGTGCAATGCTTCACCATGTTTTTAGCGCAGGAAAGAGGAAGAACAGAATGCTAACTGTGAGTAATGTGACCCCAGCGCTTCTGCCTGCCTGTCACTCATGATGGTATGGAAGGGCAGAAGGACCAAACAGAACCAGTGGTCAAACACGTCTCCGTCTCATGTGAGTTGGTCACTGTGTTTGGAACAAATCGCTGCCAAACAAAACTCGAGGGAATGATTTCAAATATATAATATATTTATGTTTGAAATGTTTTAGATAGGACTGATGTTACTGATTACAACAGAAAATACTGAGGATGGCCATGTTCCCTTCTCAAGAAAGTCTAGAAGGACGTTTGATTTTTCATTTACCTCACCCCGTTGTAAAAATGTAAAAATAATGCTAGTTTGATGTTACTTGGTTTATGGCATGCACACACCTTGTTGGTATTTTCCAGATGTAGGCAGGTGGTGGAACACTATATGATGTACTACACTGTTTCTAGAGAGTCGTGTAGCGAAGGTATATGTGGAATGGTTTTTGGGGAAGGAGGGGGAGGGGAGATACATGAATCATAGCTTGCACGCTGGGAATAAAGTTCATTTTTTATCCAGACAGACCATCAGTCAGCCCTTGCAGGATATGGCCGGGCCTCCTGATATCAATCTGCATGGAGGCATCCTCCTTCTCCCTAGAGGGGGTGAGGAGGGCGAGGGGAGTGCTTTGATTTAAACGGCAGCATTTATCACACCTGCTTCGGCATCCTAAAGGACAACCATGCGAGAGAGAGAGAAGAGGGTAGAGAGAGGGAGAAAACAGCATTAACATGTGTGGCCTGTCAACGAAGTGTGAAGCTGGAACTGTGACTGCTGTGGCGATGACATTGCTAATACTTGCTTGTACCATTTCGACTAATTTGTATTAGTTATGTTACATTTCTGCAGTATTAAATGGAGGGTTGTTGTTGCTGAATTTTGATTACCGCTCATGGCCAGCGCTCAGTTTGTGAAGTATGTCAAGGCTCATAAAAGTTAAAATTGTTCCCAGAGTCCTAACCTTCCTTCATGCTTGGTTTTGCAGCATAGTTGGCATTAGACCATTAACTTTACAAATGTTCTTAAAGAACAATAAATCAGCCTGGGAACACTTTCTTTTGTAGCTGCTTGCTCTTATATTGTGGCCACACGCATAGCCATAAAGATTTCATAAGGCACAGCAGTCATACTGTATGCTTCCAATTATCTGTAAATGTAGATATTATACAACTCATATTCACCTCCTGAATTCCAATGTCTCCGTTTTCCATTTAGCGTTTTCTGCCTTTCGTCTCAGCAGCTCAACCGCTTCCTGAAATGGCTATTGTAACAATAACATCAGCCACGATAATGATAATAGAGGAGAAGAAAATGCTTGCATTGCGACAAACACCATCCCACTGTGACAGCGTCGTACATCTTCATAATGTCCCCTCATACCCACCCTCACCCAGGGCAGACATGGTGGCTGACAGGACAGCAAACACGGGGTTTACTAAATGCAGCCCACCACACAAATCCATGCAGGTAAACCCATGATGTGCAGTAGCATTCGGTGTGTGTGCTGTTTGTTACCGTCTTGTAACATGAAAGCGTTGACTTTGCACTTTGTTTGAAGCAGAAACAACATACACGTACTGTGCATACTTTACATACAAACAGAACATTGATCACCCTTTGTCACCAGCATGTCACATTCATTTCCCACAAGCCCCTGTAGTTTTATGTGTTTCTCTACAATATCACAGCTGAAGGGTGTGTGCTAGTAGTGATCGTTGGAGGAGTAGATGCTGATGCAGTAAATGCTGAGAGTGAAAGTATCAGTACGGTTCTCATTTGTGGTTTAACTATGGAGCTAGAACCATACGGTTAACTTAGTTTCAAATAGCATTAAGACCTAAAGCTGGAGCCCTGCCCTCTCCAAAATTAGCCTAAAATTGTCATATTTTTATTGAATTTTCAGTCATTGCTGCCTTAACTTCTGGGCAAATGTATGCTTTACGGTTGCCAAGTGAAGCATCACATGGTTGGTTAAAAAGAAAGGGGACATGGTAGTATGTACGGTCCCAAAGAGTCAAAACTGAATAGCATATTCAGAATAAAAACTGCATGTTACGTGTTATAGATATGGTGAATGCACACAAATAATGAAATACTCAGACATTTATTTGTAGCTATTTATCACGGTGCCCACAACCTGTCCTTAATAGTCTATTAATATGTGACAAGAGTCTTTGTGATTCGCTTTACAACCTACAGCTGATTGGTTGTTTTGGTAATTGAGAGCGTTCATGGGTCAGAAGTCCGGATTGAAAAAATAAAAACTTTATTATAAAAAAAAGGAAACTAAAACAACATTAAACATAGAGCCAAAAAACAACAGAGAAAAGCGAAAGTGTGACAGCCTTTTCTTGTTTTCAAAAATTAGAGTGAAACAGAAACAATAAACCACAGGAACATAATTGAACGCACTGACATTATACCACTGTTGTGAAAATGATGACAAAGCACAGAACAAAGTAAAGTGTAGTTTCAAATTCTCATTGGCAGAAACACAGGGTGTGCAGTCAACTACAAACAAGAAACAGGTTCATACTAAAGTGATCTAATCAAGTATATCACACAAGACACCAGCAGCAGTTTTTTTTCCAGTTAGCACTGAGCACTAAATATATAACCTCATTTTAATTTCTTTCAAATGACTCTAATGGCTTAAATACACGCAGCACCATAGCTCACTCTCAGTCTGATCCATTTAAGTTTTTAAAACACAAGTCCCCAGGAAGTACATTGTCAACATCCAGTAATTAGCTCAGTGTTCAAGCCATTTCCTGCTAACAACCACAACAGCTACAAAAAAACAAACTCTTTAAAGTATGCCCTCACAACAGCGTCTGGCCATAATAACCTTACACCATGAGCAGAAGTGCATTTGAAATATTTATGTGGCCCCTTTCAGAGTTAGCTTAGGATAAGCACATGGAAATAGCTCCAGCTGAAATGATATGGAACAGTCAGGACTCAGACAAGAAGAAGAAGTTTGAACTCAGAAACCTTTATTCTTTATTTTAAGCCACAACTATTTTAATTGATGCTCTCATAAGGCCAGTCAAAACAAAAGATGTAAGATAAGTGTAGATCAAACATGAATCTATAGACTTTATAGATCGAGGCTAGACAAATATATTAAAGAGGCAACACTGCAACAATAATAGCATCTCCACCTAAAATAAAAGCATATTTTTCTCTAGACAGAAGAGGGAGGGATAATTTAAATGTAGCTGTGGAGGAGGAAGGGATCAGTTGAGGGGTCATCCAATGAGTTTTTGTTTTGGGACTCCAGGGAAATCAGGCGGCCACGCAGTTGGGGTCACAGGGTCGACGGTGTGTTGCCCTGCAAAGTTCAAGGAGCTAGGCCTTCTATTGTGCTGGGGTCAAACTGCTCTGCACTCGTCATCATCGAGAGCTC